GAAGGAAAAGAAAAGGCTTTGCTCTTCTCTCTTGTGGGTAGCAGATGGTGGGTAGACCCAGAAGGGACAGCCTGAACCAGCTTGAAAATGGTTTAGGCAAGAGCAGCATGGACAGATTATTAATTCTGCCATTCCACTCCCCTCCCCCTCCCCTTCCCCAAAAGAGCTCATTTTAAGAGTGAGTGAGTGAGTGAGTGTGTCAGTTGAGAGTGTAAATTGCCCTGCTGGTAGGAGATTTATATGAGTACCAGTGGACACTTGCAGTGAAAGAACCAAAATTAAATATTGTGGCATCAACTTTTGGGAAAGATAATCCCTTTCACTGGGATTTTGACCCGTAATTGTGAACTGACTTCCATGTGCTATACATTTTGGGGAAATGAAGCATTTAATTCTATCTCTGAACACTTTTTCTCACCCTCAGCACTGTTTTTAATTTGGAGCAAGTGCTTCTTTTGTTGCACTTTTGAACAGTATCACATGTTCTGCTCACACTGATTATGTTCAAAAGTCACAACTGGCTAGGTTCATCCCAGATACTAAATCGTAAATTATATGATCTGCAGGCCACTGTAGTTGAGTTTGTATAATAGGCCAAGCCAAAACAAGAGTTTTTTTGTGCGTATTGTGCATGTCTAGTCAAAATGTATAAGATGTGCTGGGGTGTTTTGTTTTGCTTTTTTTTTTTTTTTTTTTAGTAAAACTTAAAAAAATAAACTAGCTCTTCCAGCAGACCCTGGGCCCTAGTGACTTGTGAATTTGCACAAGATATTTTAATTCTTTTTTGTTTCCCTGATGCAGTGTATCTATGTATGTTATTATTTGCTTGTTTCTTTATTATTTGAATTTAGTACTGTTCAGGGACATCCAACCTTGATAACTTTTAAGATGTGTAGACTTCAACTCCCAGAATTCGCCAGCCAGCACACTTCTTAAAGTTGCCATGGGTGCACACCCCTCTTTTTAGTAGAACTGGGGGTGGAATTAGGCAAATCTCCTGGTTTAATTCAACTTTCCGCAAAGAAAATGACCCTGGGTTAAAACACTGCCCTGAAAGCAAGAAGGCTTCCCCACTATGGACTATCAACTCTTTTTTAAAACAGGAGCTGAAATGAAAAAGGGATTTGGGGCATTCCAAGCATATGGTTTCTATTAAACTATGTGCTTCGCTCCCTGGGGTAAGGTGTGATCTGGAATAATGTAAGATAATTTGCATAACTGGCCTAGGGTACGACACTTAATATTGGGGAGGGAAGGACTACAGTTTTAGTGGAGGATTATATAAAGTGAGGATGGTTATGTATATAGAAGTCCCCCTGCCTTTTTTTTTTTCAAGGGGTTGGTTATATGGAGGGGGACTCTACATGGAAGTTACTTTATTATTTTATGAATTTGTTAACTGATACGAGTTAGCTGAAGTTGGAGTTTAGAAAGACTTTTTTTTTTTTGCTTGTGAACTCTTACTAATTGAGACAATGTATTATCTGACATGGTATCAGTTCCAGTCATTGGAAAAGTCATTGTTATATGTTGGTCATTATTTCGATTGGAAACTTGTACCTGTTATTTTATTTTATTTATTTTGCAAACTTATATAGCTGCTTATCTTCTAATGAAACTCCGGACAGTGAACAATACACAAAAAAAAGCATAATACAAGAATTAATTATAACAGTGATCAAATTTGTATGAGAAACTTGCTCTTGCTTTATCATTTCACTTTCATACTTGACCAGCACAAAAACATACATAAATAAACATTTCTTCCTAAGAGTTGAGATGAAATTGTTGTGGAATTCAGAAAGGAAACAGGTAGTTTAGGAAGAAGCTCCCATAATGGGTGACTTGAGGGAAGAAGACCTCCGAGTGGATCAGGCAAGAGCTCCTGGGACTACAGAACAAAACAGAACAATAATTGATCCATTCTTATAGCTGAGAATGAATTAAGAAAAGTGTTAGGAAGTGGTCTTTAGAGACCTGATCTGCGGTTCAAACAAATAAGGGGTTCAAAGGAGGCTTCCAATCAAGCTGATTAAGTTTTGATTGGTTAGAGTCTGTGGACATCCATACTGTTTCTGATTGTTTCAGGTTCTGCAGATGTGATTTTTACATCGAATTACTCCTGAGTAATGACCGTAAGGCTAAGAGAATGACCTTATTGACTGCTTTAATAAAATCTGAATAAAGGTGCCATGCAGCACTTTTGAAAGCAAAAAAAGCGTTTCCAGAAACACAGGGACATCTAGGTAGCACTGGTCTGTAACTCTCGATGTCAGATATTTTTCCAGGATTATGCTGAAGCAGTGGAGGGAAAAATGCAGCATAGAACATAGAATCATAGGACTGCGAGGGACCTGGGAGGTCATCTAGTCCAATGCCCTGCTCAATGCAGGAGGCCGTATACCATTCCAGTCAAATAGTTGTCCAGTCTTATTCTTGAAAGCCTCCAGTGATGGAGTATACACAACTTTGGGAGGCAAGCTGTTGCATTGATTAATTGTTCTCACTGTCAGGAAAATTCTCCTTAGTTCTAGTTTGTTGGATCTCTATTAAATAAGCTTCCACCCATTACGTTTTGTCCTTCTGGTGCTTTGGAGCAGGGCTCCCCAACCCCCAGTGTGCGGTCTAGTACTGGGTGATAGCCTATTCATAACTGGACCATGGAAGTGGTGGGCAAGCATGTGCATGCAAAACTGCATTTGTGAAAATGGTGTGCAAATGTGCAAAATCATCCTCTCTCTTTCCCCCCCCCCCGCCTCTGCTGGGCCACCGACTGGAAAGGTTGGGGATGCTGCCTTGCAGAATAAATCAATCCCCTCCTCTGGGACAGCCCCTCAGTTATTGGAAGACAGCTATCATGTCCCCCCTAATCCTTCCTTTGAATAGACTAGATCAGGGGTCTGCAGTCTTACCTTAAACACTCAAAGAGCCGCTTCAATCTGTTTCCCAGAGAAAAGAAAACACTGGGAGCCGCAAAACTTGCTTGTGCTCTGGGAGCCGCAGGAGAAGGCTCAAAGAGCCACATGCGGCTTCAGAGCCGCAGGTTGCCGACCCGTGGGCTAGATAATCTAGGTCCCTTAACTGTTCCTCATATAATTTAACCTCCAGACTAAATGATCTTTGTTGCTCTTCTCTGCACACTTTCAGCATCTTTTCTGTATTATGATGGCCAGAAATGGATGTAGTATTCTAAGTGTGGACTCAACCAGTGCAATATAAAGTGATATTATCACTTCTCGTGATTTTGGTACTGTCCCTCTGTTGAGGTAGCCCAGGATTGCATTGGCTTTTTTGGCAGCTGCAGCACCCTATTGGCTCATATTTTAAGTGATGGTCCACCAAGAAACCTAGATCTGTCTCACAGTTACTACTGTTGATCCAGCTATCTCCTATCTCCTACTTATGCATTTGGTTTTTCCTCCCTAAATGTTGGTCCTTACTTTTCTCACCATTGAACTGCATCTTGTTAGAAGTGGAGTATTGGGCCGTATCCGTCAAAATCCTTCTGAATTTTTGAGTATCAAGTGTTGGCTGCTTGAAGGAGTTGCTGACAATTCTCCACGGGCACCCCTTGTGTTTCAAAGCCTTTTTGCCTTGAAACCAAAGCTGATAACCCAGGGGAGTTTTGAGTGGAATATAAAGGGGGGGGGGAGATAAGGATCGCAATGGGGAGGTGATGACAGAAACTGACCAAATAATACTAGGACTACTGTGGATTTCCTTTGGAGATTGGGGTCAGTTCAGTGGGGGGTAGACAGATCTCCAGGGATTATAAATTTCTCATCCTCTATGAAAAATGAAAATATAATTGCAGTCCTATAACTAATTTTGTGGGGTTATGCTCCATTAAATTCCTCTCCAGTGTTGGTCAGACTATTCCTAGAATATTGCATTCTGCTTGGGGCACCACCTTTTAGGGAAGACATTGACAAAGTGGAACATGTCTAGAGAAGAACAGCCAAGCTGATAAGGGTGCTGGAAGGGAGGAATGGTGGGAGGTGTTGGGTATGTTTAGCCAGGAGAAAGGTTAGGTCACTGTCTTTGAATATTTGAAAAGCTGTTATGTAGATAATAGGGGGGAGCATTTCTGAAGAGTTGATGCAGAAACACAACAAATAACTGTTTAAATTGAAAGGAAATACACTTTGGTTGGGTGTCAGGAACAATTGCTTATAATACAAGTATTCAGCAATGGATTCCTTCAGTGATAGAATCACTTTTTTTGCTGGTTGCTGGAACTGTTTAATCAGAGGCTGGATAACCATCTGCATTTCCTGCATTTTAGAGAGTTGTCAAGACTGAATCAATGTTTCTCAGCCTTGACAACTTGATGATGTGTGGACTTTAACTCCCAGAATTCTTCAGGCAGCCAACTAGTGGAGGGGAATTCTAGGAGTTGAAGTCTAATATCTCCAAGTTGCCAAAACATTGGGTTAGAGATAATCTTGATACCTGACTTGATCCAGAAGAAATTCAATGGCGGCTATTATATTACATCGTTCTCATAGCTGGGTTGTATATAGTGATATTGGAAGAACGTTGTTTTGAGGGTTGTGTTACCGGTCTTTCAGAATTAAGTGTTGTTCTCTACATTTTCAACTAGTTCAAAATAGCCTTTGGAATGTTCTGAATTCAGAATTAAACGTTCTGTGTTCAGATTTATTAATCAAAAGACATAAATAAATAACAGTGAATATGAACATATATAAAAGTAAGTAGCCCAGCATACCGTGTTCCTTTCTGGGCAGAGAAAGTTTTGTAACTTGTATTTTATGTCAGTATTATTCCAATTCATGGTTTATGGAGCTGCCTTTGCACGTGATCCAAAATGTTACTTAGTTAAATCAAACATCTGCAAATTTATGGATGGATATGTGTATCACTTTTTTTTCAGTGCACAATTGATTTTACCCAAACATATTCTCTGCCTTGCGCTCAATATTTTGTAATTTCCTCCAAATCGCTGAACTGCTCTTCCTGCTCTTTTTTCTGGGCTCCAGAGCAAACTCCACATGGACGGTTTCCGCAGCTTGAAAGAAGGAGAAGCAGTTGAATTCACTTTCAAGAAATCCTCTAAAGGTTTGGAGTCCATCCGAGTCACTGGCCCTGGAGGGGTTTCCTGCATTGGTAGTGAAAGGAGACCGAAGGGAAAAAACCTTCAGAAACGCAGGTCGAAAGGAGATCGGTAAGGCTTGATTCAGGGACTTATTTGGTGATTCCAGAAACCTCTTGACTTAACAACAAAATTTCAAATATTGAAAAAGCAAGGGATATTCTGTTATTGGAAGTATAGAAATAAAGAAATTGGTTTTGTGAGAGTGGGGTTTTTTTGCTGGAAAAAAGAAACAACGATCAACATAAATTAAGTTTGGAACTTTCCAGCAGCTTGGCATATAACAACAACAACAACAATAATAATAATAATGTTGGAAGGGAGCTTGGAGGTCATCTAGTCCAGCCCCCTGCTCAGACAGGAAACCCTATACCATTTCAGACAAATGGCTGTCCAGGCTCTTCTTAAAAACTTCCAGTGTTGGAGCATTCACAGGTTCTGGAGGCAGGTTGTTCCACTGATTAATTGTCCTAACTGTCAGGAAGTTTCTCCTTGATTAGTTTCCATCAGTTGCTTCTTGTCCTGCCTTCAGTTGCTTTGGAGAATAGCTTGACTCCCTCTTCTTTGTGGCAACCCCTGAATACTGCTATCATGTCGCCCTTCCTCCTGGATGCTACACATCCAGCATTCTTAATTTATTTCATTATTTTGATTCTGTCTCACCCACTGAGTACTCAAGATAATTAATAACAATAAAACCTTGTTTGGCCTTCTAAAGTTTCCAACACTGTTCATTTTTCACCCTCATCAGGAGAGCTAGAAACTTGTTTAATGCTAGTAGGAAGAAGCACTGACATCTAACATTCCCACCAAGATAAAGATGATAATAAAAAGATAACCACTGGTCTAGTACAGTGGTTCTCAACCTTTTTTAATGCCGTGACCCCCAACCGGTCATAAGTCGAGGACTACTCAACTGGTGCAGCACTGTTGGCAGAATGGGACTTTTGGCGGGCTCAGCAGGGCAGAGACAGCCTGGACAATTCCTATTGGCTTTCCAATAGAATTAGCTATTCTATTGGCTTTCATAGAATAAAAGGGAGTAGCACAGCTAAGGAAAAGGGGGGGGGGAATGGCGGACTGCGTTGTTTGGCGACCCCCGTGAAATGGTCGTTCGGCCCCAAATGGGGTCCCGACCCACAGGTTGAGAACCACTGGTCTAGTAGTTAAGATGCTGGCCTAGGAACCAGGAAAAGACCGTGAGTTCTAGTGCCTCCTTAACCATGAAAGCTGACTGGGTGATCTCAGGTCAGTCACTCTCTCTCAATCCATCTCAGCTCTCAGCTCACATGATTGCTTTGGGGGAAATAATAAGAGGAAGAAACATTAGTACGTTCGCTGTAACCTTGAGTTATTATGTAAATAAAGGTGGGGTAAAATCAAATAAGTAAGTAATTTCAGTTGCCAGATGTCTTCTGGCATAATGGGAATGGCAAGTAGGCATGTAGGCATACCAGTGCAGGCCTGGGAGAAAAGTTGTCTGTTTTAAAGGAGTGGCAGACAGCGTTCTGGATGTGTTGCCCGGCCTCTGGAACCCTTTTCACTTTCAGATCCAGCATGATAGCAATAGACTTGTATACCACTTCATAATGCTTCATAGCCCTCTCTAAGCAGTTTACAGAGTCAGCCTATTGCCCCCAACAATCTCGGTCCTCATTTTACCAACCTCAAAAGGATGGAAGGCTGAGTCAACCTGGAGCCAGTCAGGATTGTCCCGCTGGCAGTGGGTAGAATTAGCCTACAATATTGCATTCTAACCACTGCATCACCACAGCTCTGATATATGTGGCTATGCATACATGCCTACACAAAGACCGCCACTTTGCTTAAATTAGTGGTCTTAATTCAGCTTCTCTCAATCTGGTGCTCTCTGGAGGTATTTGGCTACATGGATCCCAGCCATTCCTTTGGTGGACGCTTGGCCAGCAGTTGTCCCCTCCTTCTACATAAGATGCTTCCTTTTGACTTTTTAAGTGAATGTCAGATGCAGATTTCTAGGAGAAGGGCAACAAAGGAAAAGGTCAGAGTTCTCTCTCTTTCACACACACTCACACACACAGAGAGAGAGAGAGAGAGAGAGAGAGACAGACAGACAGACAGACAGACAGACCAGTTGAATAGAAATAGGCTAATGTCCCCATTCATGTGTTTGCAGGATGGTGCAATGGCTCATCCCTTGGGCAACCTAGGAAGAAAAGGAACATCAGGCAGACTTCCCATAGCAATACATGGAAAACTATGACTTATAACATTTGTCCTAAGCCACGTGCCCTCCATATATTCTAAAGATCCTAGTGGCTGTGGGAGTTGCATTGTTAACGCACCTGGAAGGCACCAGATTATCTTACATTGGCTGTATTCCTACAACAGTTAACTGGCTGTTACAGATCGAGCAATTTGGCACAGCATACTAAGTGGTTAAGTTTAGGGGTGATTTGGGAACTCGATAAGCCTTACTGATTGAAACACAAGCCTTTAGGCTAAACCCTTGGTTGATTCAGGGTCATCTATGCTTTCTGGCCCTGTAATATCTTAAATGGGCCCCAGACCATTTAAGAATCCACTTATTCTACTGACATAATACAGTTGGGAGGATGGATGCATGGAGTGCTTTTATTGCTGAATTTTATAGCCCATTTGCTGAGAAATGTCCCAACACACCTGAAGGCCATCAAAAACCTCTCGGCTGTCTGGTTGGGAAACCAGATGTTCTTAACAAATTTTCAGATAACTTTCACATCCATTGCAAGCTGCAAAGCCAAAACCGAAAGATTATGATGGGCATAGTCCAAAACATCTGGAGGGCATGAGGCTGCAGCATGTCATATCTTTGCTTTTCCACAATTGTTGAAAAAAAGTCTTCATTAATAGCAATGGGGGAGGTTCCCCCTAGTGGTTAAAAAGAGTTGTGCAGTCTTTTAATTCATCCAATTTTTGAAGGTCTCAACTGGGAAAGTTGCTGGATCTCCCTTTACTACCACTAGTCCTCGACTTACAACCACAATGGAGCCCAAAATTTCTGTTGTTAAGTGAGACATTTGTGAAGTGAGTTTTGCCCCATTTTCTGACCTTTTATTGCCACAGTTGAGTAAATGACTGCAGTTGATAATTTAGTAACCCTGTTGTTAAGTGAATCTGGTTTCCTTATTGGCTTTGCTTGTCAGAAGGTCACTAAAGGTGATCACATGACACTGGGATACAGCAACAACAGTCATAAATATGAAACAGGTGCCAAATCTCGGAATTTTGATCACGTGATTAAGGGGACGCTGCAAAGTTCGTAACTGGAAAACCATCTTAAGTCACTTTTTTCAGTGCTGTTGTACCTTTGAATGGTCACTAAATGAACTGTTGTAAGTCGAGGACTACCTGTACTCTTCTTCAAGGGAGCAATTGATTCATACCACATTGAAGCAGTGTGTGTGTGTGTGTGTGTGTGTGTGTGGTGTGTGAAAGAGAGAATCTGAAAAATGATGGGACTGTTGTTGATATTTCTTTGACTTCCCAATTTAGCCTATAGCTTTGAGGTTTCCTGGTAAGGTGCTGATTCAGTCTAATCAGATTGATTTTATTTAGGTTTTATTTATATCAGCCAAGGTCATTAGGGTTCTGCTACCTAGGTTTAACACGAATGATATAATTCTTCTTTATTTTGGCTTTATTTTGATAATACAGACAGCTATGGCTTTCCTGGAATAACTTTCCTGATTTTCCCTTCATCTCGTTTTCTTCTTTTTCCCCAGATGCTACAACTGTGGTGGCCTGGATCATCATGCCAAAGAATGCAAGCTCCCTCCGCAGCCTAAGAAATGCCACTTCTGCCAAAGCATTGCCCACATGGTGGCCAACTGCCCTATCAAAACGCAGCAGTCACCCAGTTCTCAGGGAAAGCCCACATACTTCCGGGAGGAGGAGGAAATGCACAGCTCACCCTTTCTTCCTGAAACCAGGGAATGATCTCTGGAAGTCAGTAGGAAATCTGCCCAGTTGACCGGCTTCAGGGCATCAAGTCAGCCAAAATGGGAGCAGAGAACAGCATTGGCTCCAAGCTGTGGGTGAACAAGCACTGGGCAGGAGAGCAGCAGCTTTTATCTTTAGCAAAGGCAAAAACTGAGTGGGAGAGGAAACCCTTTTCTCCTTGTAGTGGGTATGGAATCTGGGAATCCTTTTCTTAAACAATCAGTTTTGTGAAATTGGAAGCAAAAAGCCAAAGATACCTTTGTGAGCTTGGCTTTCTTCACTCATCCAAGTGAAGATCAGGAAAATGCAAAAACCAAAATCTGAAATTATGGATCTCAGGATATGTTTGTACTTTAGTTAAGTGTGTGTGTGTGTGTGTGTGTGTGTGTGTGTGTGTGTGTGTGTTTGTTTGTTTGTGTCCCCTTTCTAAGACAATCCGAGGCTCAAGGAAGGACGAGTTCCACTTTAGAATGTCAACTGCATTGTAGGCTTTAGGAACACAGACTCTCCAAACTGCCTGTTCCATGCTCTCTTCACAGAAAATAACTGAATCCCCTCCATGTTCATATTTGGTCTGGGATTCTTTCCTCGTTAGGGAGAAGTAAGAACCCCCATGCTTTTAAATGTTTGTGGGACCTGAAGGAACATTGGCAGACGCAGGAGTCTGATTTCTGCCAAAACAAACCTGAAGAGTTAGATCTGTTTATCTACTGGGCCATGCAATGGTATAGCCATGCTCCTTCCTGCATGTGTTTGTTTGGCTAATTCAGATGTTTAAAACACACACACACACCCACACACACATACAAACACCCAGACACAGACCTTGAAATGCAAATTTGGCATACATTTGATATTGCCATGCATGCGACTACCATATTTTTCGTTCTCTAAATGAGTGCAAGGGTTCTGAGTTTAAATTTGTGTTTACTTGGCAAGCCCACTCATCAGATGAAAACTGCTGCTCCATTGCCCAGCTTAACTTCTGTAGCTCTGCCTTTAATTTATTTTGTTCCCTCGGACAGCTGGACTTGCCGTGTGAAAAGCGGGAGGGTGGGTGGACCTCTCTCTGCTCTGAAGCCGTGATGTGAAACCTGCACTAAGATGTGCGTGAATGACGTATCTTTGGGTTTTGTTGTGGTTTTTTTTTTTTTTTTTTTTGCTTTTCTTTGGGAGGAAATGTTCCCTTGTTTTAAAAGTATAAATATTCCATTTTGTATTTTTGTATATTTTAAACTTTTTAAGAGGAAAAAAAGGAAGAAAAAAAACGACACGATTCTGCAATTTATTCTCAGGTATTCTCACACATCTCAGGGATGGAAGAATCTCGGCAGCTCTGGGGCTGAAAGGATCAGCATTGAACAGCACAAAGAATAAGGAAGCCTCTGTTTTTTAAAATTTTTAGCTCTATCTTACAGTCTCGTGTGTGTATGAGTGGATTGGTGTTTCTAAATGCTGTATTTTAATAGATTTCTTCTTTTCCCTTTTCTGGATACAAGTGAAGGTAAAACGATTTGTGGCACAGTTCAGAGGAAAGGGCTCCACGTAGACACACTTCTGGGGGGTTTCCCTCCTTTTCTCCTCAAACTAAAGGTTTCTCCAAGGATTGCCTGTGGATCAACAAGCCAAAGGGAAGGATATCCCACAGCTGTGCAAAATATTGGTGATGCTAGATATACCCTAGGAAAGTTTTGGATCTCCTCTGATCCACCAGTCCTTAAACCTTTTGACTCATTGACCATTTCTGCATCTCATCTCTAGCAGAATTTCTTATTTGTGCATTTTAGAGTCCAGACCCGTATTATCCTTCACCTATCAGAGTTTCATCTAATGTTCAGGTTCTGCAAGCTGGGATAGGAAGGGGAGAGAATCTGCAAATCGGTCAGAAACCTTCGACACCTCTGGACATTAAAGAAATATACTTGCTGTGTTAGGCATATCAGCAGGCACTCCCACTCATCCAGGTCAGGGTGTCTTATATTCCAAGCCTCATGAAGTATTTGTGATAGACCAGTGTTTCTCAACCTTGACAATTTTAAGGCATGTGGACTTCAACTCCCAGAATTCCACAGCCAGCAATGCTGGCTGTGGAATTCTGGGAGTTGAAGTCCACATGCCTTAAAATTGTCAAGGTTGAGAAACACTGTGATAGACCAAACATCCATCTCTCCTTTCCATTTTTTTTTGGTCAGGAAAAGAAAAAGAGACATTCTATTTCATTTGCTGCTCTCTCAGTCTGTCCCAAACTCCCAGATTAAGGATGTCACCTCAGTGCTGAATAGTAGGACTTGCCTGCAGGAGGTGACACTGAAAGCAGGAAGGGATGTGCAAAGATGGGAGAGTTAGGTTGGTTAGAGCAGCAACCTGCCAGCATCTTTGCTATTAGCTATTATAGCACTGAATTGTAATTTGAAACACCCAAGTTCCTAGATTTCTTCTCTGCTCAGCTTAGGAAGTTGTGTAGGATCTGCTGCCTGGTATCAAAGTAACCAGCTTTCTCGCAGCTGCTAAGGGTGAATTTAGTATGCAGCACTCTTAAAAACATCTTAAGTGAAACAGAAAACCCTAAATGTGTTTTGGGGACTTACAGAGCTGTCCCATATAATTCCTCCTCTTCTGTCTCGCCCATCACAGAAGTAGTGGCAATGACATGATGAGAAATATGCAGTTGGTTAATTTTGATACGTTGCTGTGAAGAAACTACTGTATCTACCTCAGGATCATTTTTGATGTCAATAGGTGTCAAATACAATAGAACCACTTAGGTTAGTTACCTTGCTCTAGATTGGTCAAAGAAAGAATGCTTCCCTAGACTGTGCCCAAAATTTAAATTGTGGCACCTTGTAGTTTTGTATCTGATTTTTATTAAGAAGAAAAAGGTTAAGTGACACTGTTCCTCTTTCTAGATGTTTAGTCTGTGTAAATATCTCTTGTAAAGTTGTCTGATTTCTTCCCAATTTCTTCTTGGATTATTGTTTACAAACTTAAGAAAAATAGCCAAAGCAGGGGGTTGTATTTGCACCAGAGATATGGGGGTAGGATTCCCTCTTTGTACTTTATTGTAATTCTGCCAAGTGAGAGCTGGTGAAGTCCCCTCTCCCCATCTCTCTTGTAACTGCTGAGATCATTGGATTTATGGATGATGGTGATTTATCTGTAAGAGCATTGAATGGAAAGGAAAATCATGTTTTGAAACTCATTGTAGTGAGGTTGGATAGCATCAGCGGTAGCTTTTCATCGCTCTTATTTTTAAAAATGGGAAGATGTGAGATTTCGGAGGTTGAAAGAAATACTTTAAAAGTCCTTTGGTCTGGTCTTACAAATAAATTGCTGTCTGGCGCAGCGAATGAGAGTACAATTTTGACAGTGGTGGACACTATGCATAAAGAGTAAATGGTGTGAATGGCAGGCAGGGTAAAGCCATGTCCGCACTCAGGGTCATTGTGGTGTGGGGGAATTTGAATGTACTGGGGCTTGGGTGGGTGGGTAACCATTTCTTGCATGGCTCCATGTTTGTGTCCTGTGAGACAAAACGAATGTAACTTCATGTTTACTGCTAGTAACCAAAGCTTGTTTTGTGTTAAATTCTTGAATTTTAATTAAGTGGATAGGTAGGTGGGAGGGAAGGAAGGGATGGCAATAACAGGGCGATTGTTGGGTTCTTTTTTTGGGGGGGGGGGTTAATGTCTTGGCTGCAGGACTTTGTCCAAAGAAGCAGCTTTCCTGCTGATTTATGTCTTGCAGTGACATCGGAACTTCCCAACACTGCATCTTTCTCTCTCCCCCGTTCCCATTTTTATACCAGTTATGGAAAATGTTGGAAATGAATAAAGTTGATGGATAACAATGTGCTGTGTTCCTCTTCTTTTCAGCAAACAAAATCTTCCTTTGGGTCAGAACGGTGTCCTTGTTTATAGGGCATACAGGTAATCCTCGACTTTACAGCTGTTCATTTAGTGACTGTGCAAAGTTACACTGAAAAAAGTGACTTATGACCATTTTTCACAGTTACAACTTTTGCAGCATCCCCATGATCGTGTGATCAAAATTCAGATGCTTGGCAACTGGCTTGTATTTATGACTGTTGCAGTGTCCCAGGGTCGTGTGATCTCCTTTTGCAACTTTTTGACTAGCAAAGTCAATGGGGAGGCCAGATTGTCTTAATAGCCGTGTTCCTACCTTAACAACTTCAGTGATTCACTTAACAACTGTGGCAAGAAAGATCATAAAATGGGGCAAAACTCACTTAACAAATATCTCACTTAACAACAGAAATTTTGGGCTAAATTGTGGTAAGTCGAGAGGACTACCTGTACTTAAATGGATAAGCTGGGATGGAGATAAAACTAAACTTCTTGTGTGAATTCCAAAATTAATTAATTTACAAAATTTATATATACCCACTCATCTTGAATACATAACTTGGATAGCTCACAACCAACCATAAAATATGTATTTTTTAAAAACCCAAAAAAAACATAAGCATAATTACATCAAGGCATCAGAAGAATGCAATGTAAAAATTATTGAAGGGCTACTCTTAGTCGCAAGCAATCTCAGATCATTAGGGAATTCGATGAACTCCCCTCCCTCCTGTATTCTCAGTTAACATCTGAGAAGGTTAACTGACAAAAATTCTTATGACATTTAACGGCAGCAAAATATAAAAAGACTTTCACTTGGCAGCCACCTAAGACACTTTCTCAGTGTCTTTGACATGTATAGACTTTTAACGCCCAGAATTCCCCAGCCATGTTAAGAGAAACGCCCAGCCTTTGCAGCTCTGAAGGACTAACAAAATGGCTGCCAACTGCTCTCTCTCTCTCTCTCTCTCTCTCTCTCTCTCTCTCTCTCTCTCTCTCTCTCTCTCTCTCTCTCTCTCTCTCTCTCTCTCTCTCACACACACACACACACACACACACACACACACACACACACTGAACAAAAGAAATATTTGTCATCTCCCCCCCCCCTCCTCCCCAAAAATCTAGCCCACCCTGAACAGTGCACGTGGGGGCAGCACCAAGGCTGAGCCTAAAGTAGAGGGCCTGTTTTGCTCTGATTCCCAGTGTGGGCAGCTGTAAAAGAAAGGATGTCCTTAGTAGATATAAACTAGATCTGCTACCAAAATGACATGGGGAAACACGGCATAAGTCCAAAACAAGAAGGCATGCACAAAGCAACTCATATACCTCCCTAATTTATATGAGTATAAGGGTGAGGGTGGGGATGGAATTAAAGCACAGTTGAACTTGCAAAATTCTGTTTCTATAGTTAACAACTAGTAAGTTTTGAGCCTTCCTTTGGAGTTGATATCATGAATTGATCT